CTTGCACCTCTGGAAGTTCTCTGTCAATATACTGCTACAAACATTTTTGAATTATCTTCAGTAAGATCTTACTTGTGTGTGATATTAATGATATTGTTCTATAATTTCCACATTCTGTGGGATCACCTTTCTTTAGAATGGGTACAAATGGCAGTAGGTTTGGTTTTTGGTTTTAACAACATCCAGTTAATTTCACCCTATAAGTGAGACTTCAAACAAGGAATTAGCCTCTTTTGATAGAAAAGCTTCGCTTATTATCAGTAAGAAAAATATAGACTGTGATCTTGTTTAGAAGGGTATCTATAACAGGCTGCTAATTCTTGTAGAGACCCCACAGAGTCCCTTGTTTCTTGTTATCCTGAACAAAATGAAAGGAATTTGTTCTTTATTATTTGTGGGAAATACCTAGTTAAATCATTTGAAGGGGTTAATCCTATTTGATTCACTTTTTTTATTTCTTTAATAAAAAAAAGAAACTGCTCCTTAAAACTACTAATGAAAGGCATGCTGGTGACTCTCAGCACACTTGCCTGAGTTTTTATGGATCATCTGGCCTGAGAAAGCATTTAAATATGAGGACCAAATTGGTTAAAGTCACTGTACTCAGGGTTTCGGGAAAAGACAAAGAGGCACACCTTCTCCAAACAGGGAAGCAGCAGACAAGTCTCTTGACCCAAAAGCCTCCTGTGGACTGAAATCATTGCTATAGGAAAATTCCATGAGAAACTGTCTCTGTTAACATGTACACTGGACCATGTGTATAGTTGTAATCACTGGCATTTCACTTGTGCTTTGAATTTCCACGTCCTTTGTTAATTAATAAAACTTACTTAGTGCATTCTGTTGACAGTATCAGTGCTATTGCTTATTTTTAATTCCACATATAATCAACAGACAAGAGGATGGGGATAATAGAAGTCCCTTAATCCATAGCAATTTCTTTTTGCCTCAAGACCCTGGAAACATATGCACTAAGAGAAAGCAGCTTTTGGATAAAGGGTTTCTGCTTTGCCTCAAGGGAGCCTGAGTCATTCTGAGGCTGTGGGCCATCCTCAGTCCAGAGGGAGAGAACCAGGTAGGACAGGAAGCCCCACTATGGCATGGAGAGAGACAGTTAGGATATACACATGTGTGGGGTACAAATATTTCCACATGGCTGACTGCAAGCTACCAGCATGAAGTCACCAAGCATGAAATAGGAAAGAGATTCGCAGTAGAGAGTAGTCTATAATATTTTATCATACATATATCATACATATGGATCAACACGGGCTTGTGCTTACTCACTGATCTGCACTGAATACTTTCCCTTGTTACCCTCCCGAGAGGGACCGGGTCTCCGGGAGCAAGGTGGGCACGGGCGGGCTTGTGCTTACTCACTGATCTGCACTGAACACTTTCCCTTGTTACCCTCCCGAGAGGGACCAGGTCTCCGGGAGCAAGGTAAGCACGGGCG